CATCATCATCATCATCACCATCATCATCACCATCATCATCATCATCATCATCATCATCATCATCATCATCAGCATCAGCATCAGCATCAGCATCATCGTCATCGTCATCGTCATCGTCATCGTCAACATCAACATCACCATCATCGTCGTCAGCATCACAATAATCAGCATCATCAATATCAGCCGCATCAGCATCATCATCAGCATCATCATCATCATCATCCTCCTCATCATCATCAGTATCATTATCATCGTCAGCATCATCGTCATCATCAGTATCATCATCATCATCATCATCATCATCATCATCATCTTCATCATCATCATCATCATCATCGTCATCATCATCATCAGCATCATCAGCATCAGCATCATCATCAGAATAATCAGCATCATCATCAACAACAACATCATCATGATACTCGTCATGATCATCAGTATCATCATCGTCGTCATCATTACACTCGTCATCGCCATCATCATAATCGGCAGCAGCAGCATGATCATCATCAGCGTCATCATCAGCACCATCATCATCATCATCATCAGCATCATCATCCGCATCATCATCATCACCATCATCATCACCATCATCATCATCGTCGTCATCATCAGAATCATCACCATCATCACCATCACCATCATCAGAATCGGTAGTAGCAGCAGCATCATCATCACCCGCATCATCAACACCATCATCATCACCACCACCATCAGCATCATCATCAACATCCTCATCATCATCGTCATCATCATCATTCACATCACCATCATCATCAGCAGCATCATCGTGATCGTCATCATCATCCTGAGCATCAGGAGCATCAGCACTTCCACCACCATCATCATCATCAACAACATCCGCATCAGCATCAGCATCAGCATTGTTGTCAACAGCCGCATCAGCATCCTCATCATCACTAACATGGGCATACTCATCGTCATCATCCTACTTGTCATCATCATCACCATCGTCACCATCAGCAGCATCATCATCAGAAGCATCAGCATCCTCATCATCACTAACATGGACATACGCATCATCATCACCATACCTGTCATCACAATCACCATAGTCACCATCGGTATGATCATCATCAGCAGCAGCATGATCATCATCATGATTATCTTGTTCATCACCATCACCAGTACCGTAATCATAACCGTCAGCAGCATCATCAGCATCATCATCATCAATATCATTAGCAGCTTCATCATCCTCACCACCATCGCCATCATCATCAACAGCAAGATCAGTTTGATCCCCGTCATCAGAAGCATCATCATCACCATCACCATCACCATCATCACCCTCAGCATCCGAATCACCACATCATCGTCATCATCAGCATTATCATCAGCATCAGCATCACCATCACCATCGTCGTCGGCATCATCAGCATCATCATAATCAACATCATCATCACCACCATCATCATCCTCATCATCATCATCAGCATCACCATCGTCATCATCATCATCATCATCATCATCGTCATCATCATCATCATAAGCATCATCATCATCATCATCATCATCAGCAGCAGCATCATCATCATCATCATCATCATCATCATCATCATCATCAGCTTCAGCATCATCGTCGTCATCATCACCACCTTCATCAGCAGCAACAGCATCAGCATCAGCATCCTCATCCGCCACCGCGCCTGCGGAACTTTGAGGCATGGTATAATGCCACGGGTTGCCTGGCAGGGTGCCTGTAGCCTTCTAAGGGCTCCGCCCCCCATCCGCGGGACGCGCCCACCAGACGGCATCGCCCCTATCACCCAGGGTTCATGGGCGGCCACGGCGCCTCCCTGGGACTCCCCCATGCGTCCATGACGGCCCAGGAAGCGCACCCAGGCCGCCGAAGAGGCACCCAAGACAGCCCAAGAGCGCTCCAATACGCCTCAGGTGGCCCCACAACGGCTGCAGAGGCTCCAAAGAAGCCCCGTGAGCGCTCCAAGGGGACCCCCAAGGGGGCCCAACGAAGCAAAACGTATCGATGTCCATACTGTGTCTCAAGATGTGTCGCGTTCTCGCGTTTTCGAGCTTCCGACGCGCCAAGCCTGCCCCCAGGGGCCCTAAGATCGCCCAAAAACGACACAAGAGGCCACCAAGCCAAAAGGACCCCAAGACGGCCCAAGGGGGCCCCCAAACGGCCCAAGGAGCGCCCAAGACAGTCCGAGAGAGCCCCAAGGCGGCCCCAAGAAGGCCCAACAGGGAAACCACGAACCGACAATCCCAGCCTTCCGCCCGAAGAGACCCCAAGGAGGCCCCAAGGGGCCTCCAAGAAGCCCCAAGAATCCCCCAAGAGGCCCCCTAATAGGCCCCAACGCGGCCCCAGGCGGCCCCCAAGATGCATCAAAACTAGCTCCAGCAAGCACCTGGGGGCCTCCAACGATATCACCTGAATTACTGGCATGATTATTATGCGGTGTTCCTCGTCCTCGTCGTCATCGCTTTCTGCCCTGCACCGTCTTCAGTTCCCCTGGTCTGGCCCCGCATCATCCTGTCCCTCATACCGCCTCCTCCTCCTCCTCCGCCTCTTCTTCTTCTTCTCGTCCTCCTCATCCTAACCTCCTCCTCCTCCTCCTCCTGGGTCTCTCCTCCTCCTCCCACCCAGCTCCCCCAGTCCTCCGCCCTCCTCCTCCCACTCCGAATGCCCACCCCCATCCCCCCCCCCTTCCATCCTCCCATCCTCCTCCTCCTCTCCTCCCATCCTCATCCTCCCTCCTCCTCCTCACCTACTCATCCTCCTCTTCATCCTCTCTCCCACATCGGGTGGGAGGCGAAGGAGACCAGGAGCGAAGGAAAGAGGATGAGAGAAAGGTTGGAGGAGGAGGAGGGAGGAGGAGGAGGAAGAGAGGAAGAGAGGAACGAGGGAAGGAGGGCAAGGAGCAGGATAGAAGGAAAAAGGGCGGAAGGAGGAGGCCTCCCCAGATCCTCCATCACTCTATTCCTCTCCAGCCCCCATCCATTCGTCTCTCCCCCCCTGCCTCTGGCCCATCCCCCTCACCTCCCCTCCCTCCCTTCCCTCCTCCTCCTCGTCCTCCTCCTCACCATCATCATCAGCAGCATCATCACCATCATCGTCATCATCATCACCATCACCATCATCATCAGCATCATCATCATCACCATCATCAGCATCATCATCAGCATCATCATCCTCCCCCTCTCCCGCCTCCAGCTCCTCCTCCTCCTCCTCGTTCTTCCTCCTCCTCCTGGAGCGATCATCGGGGGCACGATCATTCAATTAACGAAGGGGCCCAATCAAAAGTTGAAGCAGAGGGCAGCGATCATGATGCGCAGACCACAGCTCCAGCCGCGCAAATCGCAGCACCGAGGTCCCGCAGAATCCCGCCGACGCTCTGCTCCTCCTGCGCCGTCTGCGCGGCCACCTGCGCCTCCACGCCCCGCATGCAGGCCGCCTCCTCGTCGAGCACCGCGCGGCGCCGCCACCGCCCCGCGCGGGCCGCCGCCGCGCCCCTCGGAGGGCAGGCATTCCCCCGCAGGGGCCCTTCAGCGCAGCGGGCTGCCGCCGCGGCCGTCGGCAGGGCCGCCATCTGCCTCGCGGCCGTATGGCACCGCTGGTCTTCGCGTCCACCGCCGCAGCTGCGTCGCAGAGCCGCCGGCGCTTCGCGAACGGCTGGTGCCTCTGCCGCCCCTGCATGCCGAGGCTCATGGTGTGCTCGTGCAGCTGCGCGAGGGGAACGAAGGGCGCGGCGGTCGGGTCGGGCGTCCACGCTCCCGGCGCCGTGATGACTTCGGCCTCGCTCACCACCTCCGTCCCTGCGTTCGCGAGGGCGGTCGTGCCACAGGTGGCACCACAGCATCAGCACCTTTGTCCCGCCTAGCCCTTACGCGAGAACGGCGCTGTACCCAATTGAGCTGCTTGAAATTGAGGCCAAGCAGCTGGGCCATGGGCACGTCGAACACGTGCATAGCCACGATCCGCATGATCGCCTCGAGCTGCGAGCGCACAGCAGTGTCACCGCGGCGTCTGGCAGACACTTCCTCCTCCAGGCAGGGCACGATGGCGTCCACCCTGCGCTGGACCTCGGGATCTTCACTCCTGCGGACCTGCAGCTCCAGACCAAGGACGTGCTGCTCTAACACTGTCTTCTCCTCCATGAGCCTCTTCACGAGGTTCTCGGCACGCGCCGCTGCCGCTGCCGCCTGGCTGCCGTGCTGCCTACAGCTTCTCGCCACACTCCAGGGGCGCGTCCCGCAGCCATCCCAAGCGAACACACAGCAGCCAACACCATGAACTGAGCACATAGAGCCACGACGTTTACCCTCATCCTCCTTCTCCTCCCTCTCCTCCTCCTCTTCTTCCTCCTCTTCCTCCTCCTCCTCCTCCTCCTCCTCCTCCTCCTCCCCTCCTCCTACCTCATCTCCTCATCTCCTCATCTCCTCATCTCCTCATCTCCTCATCTCCTCATCTCCTCATCTCCTCCGCGTCGCCTCTCCTCCCCTCCTCTCTCCTACCCGCCATTCCTCCTCCTCCTACTCCTCCTGGTCACCGCTCCCCCCCTCCGCGCGGCCGCCCCGCTCCGGCAAAGGGCGGGGGCCGCTCCGCTTCCGCAGCCCCGTGAGCTGGGGCACCTGGCACCGCGGGGGCCGCGGCAGGCCGCGGGCGGCGGCCGGGAGCGGCGGCGCAGAGGCAGCGGGCGCGGGTGGCGGCGGCGGCGAGGCGGGCGAGGCGGCGGGCGCGGCCGGCTGCTGGCAGCGGCGGGCGGCAGCCGGCGACGGCGAGGAGGCGGGCGGCGGCGGCGGCGGCGGAGAGGCATTGACGACGGATGCGGCGGCTGCGACGCCGACGACGCCGACGTCGACGATGACGAAAACGACAACGACGACGACGAGCCTGCGCGCGACGGCCGCGCCGTCGCGGTCGCCGTCCGCGCCGGCGGCCGTCGCGCCCGGGCGCAGATGCTGGATTGGATCGGACCCGTCGAGAAAGCCGTCGGCAGCGACGTGCCGCAAGCGAAAGCACGAGAGTGTCCAGCGCTTTGGCGTGCCACCCGTTTTCCGAGGGGTGCTTCTGCACTGTTGCCCGCTTTCAGCGAGGTCTTGCCCCGACGACTCGAAGACCCTGAGACACGGGAGCGAAAGCTTGGGCGTCCGCAGGGGACAAGAGGAGAGGACGAGGAACAAGGAGGAGGAAGAGGAGGACGAGGAGGAGGAGGCGGAGGAAGAGCGAGGAGGAGGAGGGGCAAGAACGAGCGGTGAAGGGAAGGGAGGGGCGGGGGGAGGAGGACGAGGAGGAGGAGGAGGAGGAGGAGGAGGTGGAGGTGGAGGAGGAGAGGAGGACGACGAGGACGAAGACGACGACGAGGACGAGGACGAGGACGAGGAGGAGGAGGAGGAGGAGGAGGAGAAGGAGGAGGAGGAGCGAGGAGGAGGAGGAGAAGTAGAGGAGGAGGTGGAGGAGGAGGACGAGCGAGAAGGAGGAGGAGCGAGGAGGAGGAGGAGGAGGAGGAGCGAGGAGGAGGAGGAGGAAAAGGACGAACGAGGAGGACGAGCGAGGAGAAGGAGGCGCAAGGACGAGCAGGGAATAGCTCCAGAGTCCGAGAAAGTCCAAGATGAGAGAAACAAGCGGCCCTTCCCCTGGGGGACTATGGCATCCCTTCCTTTGACCGCCGCCCTCGGGGTTCTGAACGGAGAGGGCGCGTGGGGGTGCAGTCGGGGCGTTTACCTAAGGAACCCCAAATAAGGAACGAGGCCCCCTTTTCCCATCAGTTAAACTTCGACTTCCCATGGAGAACCTCAGGAAAACCCAAGGCAAACTGTAAAACAATCAAGGAATACCGAGCCCCTCCCCAACGAAAAGGGTTCCTTATTCAGCGCCCCGACTGTAAAACGTGCAAGGTTGACCAAGATGGTCCCCAGATGGCCCCAAGTTGCCGTGTTCCCCTCCAAGACTGCGCGCAGGCTGGCCGATGTTGACCCAGTTTGCCTCCACAAGATACCCCAGGGAGGACCAACGTGGCTCTGATGTGATCCTCCCAGGCCCCAAGATGGCCCAGCACGCCTCTCAAAGCCTAAGCCACGGAGTATGTTTGGTTTGAATGACTTGGGCTGCCTGCCTCCGCGGCGTCCGAGGGGCATTGGAGATCTCAAGATGGCCTGGAGATGGCCCAAGAAAATCCCACGAGCTGCCCAAAACGGCCCGTTGAGTGCGCCGAAGGTTACACAGAGCGCCCAGAGAGGGCCCATAGAAGTAGCACCTCTCTCCATCATGTTTGGGAGATTGTTGCAAGGGCTTCCGAAAAAGCCGCAAGGTAGCACTAGAGGGCCCCAAGTGGCGTCCAAAAGACTCAGAGAGGCCCGCCTGAGCTGTGTGCTTGGTGCTTATTACAGCTGGGAGTGGAATGAACGGAGCGAAAGCTAAGCCGCGCTTGCATTAATCGAACACTGCTCAGCAAGCGCCGCGCATACCGGTCTTGCAAGCTTGCATCAGTGATACAAATGGAAAGCTGATCCCGCTAAAAATGGAACTCTCGCTTGAGCCATCCATATACGCGATCACCCGCACTTGCAACATTTGCAACAATCTCACGGGTCGAAGCCAGCTCCCGGTCATAATGGGGCTCTAGCTTGAGACTTCTTCAGGGTGTACCTTCCGAGGCACAGACATTCCCAACAGCTACAGGGATGGAGGGTAGCACCTTTCAAACACTGGGGCTCTCGCTTGGCACTTGCTTGAGCTTACTGCTCGCCGCGATCTTTCGGCGTCGCCCCGATCTGGTGGGGGCTGTGGCTGGCGCCCTCCTCCTCCTCCCCCTCCTCCTCCTCCTCCTCCTCCTCCCTCCCCCTCCTCCTCCCTCCTCCTCCTCTCTCCCTCTCCCTCTCTCCCTCCTCTCCTCCTACTCCTCCTCCTCTCTCACTCCTCCTCCCCTTCCTCCTCCTCCTCCTCCTCCTCCTCGCCGCGTGTGTGCGCACAGAGTCTCCTCTACTCCTCTCAGCCTGTCCCATATCAGCAAGGATGGGGCAAGACAGTTCGTTCTCAGAACAAGGCTCCCGCCTGAATGGCTCGCCCATGGTGCGCTCGTCTTCCAGGTGTGCGCTGCCAGTGGTGCCAAGGAACACCTGCAGGAACCCTTGAAGAGGGGGGCGAGAACGGGAGAGCGCGCTGCAGCATCGTCGATGCAGCCTGGAACTCATCTGGTCCCTCTCCACCTCCCCTCTTCCACTCCCCCTCCTCCCACTTCCCCCTCCCCCCCCTCTACACCACGCGAAATGGTTAAGAAATCATGGGTTAAGAAATTCATGGTCTCAGCACTTGAATACAAACCCAACATTTCTATCAAAATCTTAGGACTTACATTGAAACGTTAAGAATAATCGAGACTCTGGCCGAAAACTTAGGTTTTCTTAAGCATCGCCTAAGGTGTACACCTTCCTCCCGCCCCCCCTCCCACTCCCCCCCCGACTTCTCCCCCCTCTCGTCCACCTCCGCCCTCGGAGCCTCCGCCTCCTCCCCGGCCCCCACCTCCCGATCCTGCTCCTCCTGCTCGTCTTCCACCTCCTTCTTCGACGAGGACGCTGGCGACGACGACGACGACGACGACGACGACGACGACGCCGACGCCGACGCCGACGCCGACGCCGACGCCGACGCCGACGCCGACGACGACGACGACGACGACGACGACGACGACGACGCCGACGCCGACGCCGACGCCGACGACGACGACGACGACGACGAGCGGCGGCGGCGTCGTGTTCCCCGCGAGGCGCCTGCGACACCGCGCAGGGCCCGGCGTCAGCGATGCCGCCGTGCGCGGGCGGCGCGGGCGCCAGCTCCGCGGGCGCGGCGCTGCCGAAGCTGGCGCGGGCGACCCAGGACACGCCCTCGGCGGCGCCCCGTTGCCGACGCAGTCGCCGCCGTCGTCGGCGTCGTCGTCGCCGCCGTCGCCGCCGCCAAAGCTGGCGGAGGACACGGCCTCGGCGGCGCCCCGACGCCGTCGCCGTCGCCGTCGCCGACGCTGTCGCCGTCACCGTCGCCGTCGCCGTCGTCGGACGTCGACGACGACGACGACCACCACCACGCCGACGACGACGCCGACGCCGACGACCACGACGACGACGACGATGACGCCGACGCGGAGGCCGACGCCGACGCCGACACCGACGCGGAGGCCGACGCCGACGCCGACGACGACGCCGACGCCGACGCCGACGCCGACGCCGACGCCGACGACGACGACGTCGACGATAACGACAATGACGGCGGCGGCGACGACGACGACCACGACGACAACGGCGGCGGCGGCGACGACGACGGCGACCACGACCGCGACGACGACGGCGGCGGCGGCGACGGCGACGACGACGAGCGGCGGCGGCGGCGGCGTCCACCCTCGCCGTGCTGTCCAGCAGCTGCGCCTCGCCGAGAGCCCTCCGAGGGGGTGGCCGGACGGCCCAAGAGGTCCTTCCGGGAGGGCCCCGAGGCAGCCACAACGAGCATTGTTTCGCCGACCCGCGTCCCCAGCGGCCTCCTCATCCTCCTCCCCCAACCTCCTCCTCCCCCTCATGCTCCCCTGCCTTCTCCTCCTCCCCATCCTCCTCCCCCTCCACCACATCCTCCTCCTCATACTCCTCCTCCTCCTCCTCCACCTCCTCCTCCTCCTCAGATTCCTCTTCCTTCTCCTCCTCCGCGTGGCCTGGGCCCCACTGGCCGATCTGCCCGCCTGGATGGGGAACAGGTCGTGCCCCTCGGGCTTCGAAGGGCGTGCCCCCAGCTGGGGTGGTAAGTTGGTGGGGGTCTCGTCGGGGGTGGGGATGGGGATGGGGATCGGTCAAACGATACCGACCTAAGAGACTCCCGAGGCGGGCGGGAGGGGCCCAGGAAAGGCATCAGGACGGCCGAGAGGACGGCCATGGACGGCCGAGGGCGCCCCCGGAGCGCCCCAACGAGGGCAACGAGACGGCCCCGCCAGAGCCCAAGACAGCCCCAGGACGGCCCAGGCAAGTAGGCTTGGGTCGGGCACGTCCTCCTACGAGGGGATTTTGGACGAAAGCTAAAAAGTATGCCAAACATGCTCAAAAAGGGCCCGAGCTGCTCAAAAATCGTCCCCTGACTGTCTTTGTGCTATTTTTGAATACTCCTCATGCGGAGGGACACGCCCGACTCACAAGCGGGCCCCCGTGAGAGCCCCTCGAGAAGCCGAGACGAGAGGGCGTCACGCGTGGCGGCCTCCTGGGCGGGGCTCCAGGAGCAGCCACGCACGGTGCTGCGCTGGCACCGTGACGGGCCCTGCCGCGGGCGGCCGGGCAGAAACGCGCCAGCGTTCGATCACCTCGAAGGCAAGGGCAGGAATAGATCGGCTGCATGCAAGAGTGACCCTGGGTAAGACTGACCTTTGGTGCGCGGCTTCTCGTGGGCCGCGGGGGGGCAAAACCCGAGCGCGCAAGACGCTGCTACCGGCTCGCGTGGAGTCACTTGGGGGCCCCCGTGTGCCCGCACCAAAGGTCACTCCAGCGAAAGGTCACTCTTACGTCTAGTCGAATGGAGGAGGGGGGGGCGAAACTTTTGACGTCAGCGGCGAGGCGGCGAAATCCGCTCCAGCGTGAGGCCAAGTCGGGGGCACTGACTGGCGAATTGGCCGGCGAGCAAGGAGGAAAGGGGGGACGGCCGAGAGGAAGGAGGGACGCTCAGACGCCAGGGGAGAGCGAGACAAGCGAGCGAGATTTGTTCCATGGAATGCCACACGATGATGCCAAGTGCCACCTTCACAATCGATGGAAAGGGGACTCCACCATGCAAGGCACGTTCCGCAGAGAAGCAGGAGGACGGGGGAGAGGAGGACACGGAGAGCAGACACACGCCAGGCAGCAAAGCAGAGCTCACGAACGAGCTCGAGGGGGGGAAACAAAACAGACGCCAGAGTGCGGATGCTGGTCAGGGAGGCATCGACAAGCATGCGGGTGTGGACGAGTTGGCGGGGGGGGGCATGGTGACGAGCAGGGCAGTGGGGGTGAGCCGAGGCAAAGGGCGAGACGCAGGATGATCCAGTGGGCAATCAAATGCATAAGCACAAACTTTCGGAAGTCGGCGCGGATTTCCAGGATCGGTGCTGGGCCCCACTCACTGCCGCGCGGAGCGCGCCAGGGGTCCAGCGCCGATCCAAGGAATCCGCGCAGACATCCGAAAGCTTTTGTTTCTGATGCTTTACATGTCGCCGCACCGTCTGCTCTCGGCGTGCCCAAGCGGACGACGCCGCCACCACGGCAATCCCACAGCAAGCCCTGCGTCCGACACGCGCCCAGAGTGGACGAAGCCGGTACCGCGGCAAGCCCACGGCGAGCCCACCGCGTCCGAGGCGGCACTCTTGCCCTGGAGGCCGCGGCGCCATCTCGCCATCGCTCGGACGTCCATTCCCTGTGTGTGCTTTCGGTTTCGTGCGTGGTTTTTTCGCCAACGGATCGAGGATGCTCCTCGATGGTCCTCGCCGACGGAAACATGCACACGTCCGAGCGATGCCAAGGCATCCCCAGAGCGCAGGGCCGCGCGTCGGAACAACTGGCGCGGCGACATCTTCTTCGAAGCACAGGCCGCTCAACCAAGCGGCAGCGGCAGAGCCACGGGCGGCGCCGCGGAGAAGCCGCGGGAGACACGCGCGGCCGCACCGGCGGCGCCTGGAGGGAGCTCTGCGGCCAGCGCCAGCAGCGATCCGTCCCTGCCAGCCCCGTGGCAAAGGGGGGGCGTCGAGGAGGAGGAGGAGGAGGAGGAGGAGCAGAAGCAGGAGCAGGAACAGCAGCAGGAGCAGCAGGAGGAGGCGAAGGAGAATGAGTGGAGAGAAGGGAGGAGGGAGAAGCGATGAGGGGGGAGGAGCGAGCGGCAACTAGCAGGGAACGGGGAGCGAGGGAGGAGCGAGGAGCAGGAAGGTAGGTAATCAGGAGGAGCGGGGGGAAACATCAAGGGGGGGGATTGGAAAGGGACCGATGTTTCGAGGTTCGAGGCTTTCCCGCGTGATCGTTGGTTCTCGGCGGCTTTCCAGCCCTGGGATGCCTTGCAGCGGCTGCGCCTCGCAGGGAGCGCAGCGGGGGTGCCCAGATCGTCCCGAGCGGCCGCCTGAGGCGCGAACCTTGGGCCGAAACCACCAGGCGACCTGGTATCGGTAATCTATCAACGACTGATCGGCGGTACACCCTGCGAAGTGCTTTAGAAATCATGGGTTAAGAAATTCATAGTCTCAGACTTTGGATAACAACCCAACGTTTCCATTAACATCTGAAGATTTACATGGAAACGTCAAGAATAATCGAGACTCTGGCCGAAAACTTAGGTTTTCTTAAGCATCGCCTAAGGTGTAGGCCTCCAGTAGCGGAACCGAGCTTTCCTGGGCGGGTTGGGCCGTCAGTTCCCCATCGGCAGTCCATCTGCGACTGGTGGTCGACGGGTCTGCGCCCCTGGGCCTGTCCCCCCCCCCCCCTAACGTTGCCCCTGAGGCATGACGAGGAGCAGCAGGAACAGGGGGAGGCGAAGGAGAAGGAGGAGGTGGTGGAGGAGGAGGAGGAGGAGAGGAAGGAGGAGGAGGAGGAGAGGAGGAGGCGGAGGCAGGAGGAGGGAGGAGGAGCAGGGCAGAGGACGAGGGGGAGGGAAAAGGACGAGGAGGAGGAGGAGAAAGAGGAGCAGGATGAGGAGGAGAAGGAGAAGGAGGAAGGGACAAAGGGTGCGAAGGGGAGGGGAGGAGGAGGAGGAGGAGGAGGAGGAGAATGCAGGAAGGATAAGAAGAAGATGATGATGGGGGGGAGGAAGCATAAGGAGGAGGTGAAGGACGAGAAGGAGGAGGAGGAGGAGGCGGAGTGACCGACACGCCACACGGAGGGAGGAGGAGGAGGGGGAGGAGGAGGAGGAGCGGGAGAAGGAGCGAGGAGGAAAAGTGGAGGAGGAGGAGATGTAGGAAGAGGAGGAGGAGGAGGAGGACGAGGGGAAGGAGGAGGAAAATGAAGAGGGAGAAGAGGGTGAGGAGGTGTGAGGAGGAGGAGGAGGACGAGGAGGAGGATTGAGGAGGAGCAGGAAAAAGGAGGAGGAAGAAGGAGGAGCGGAGGAGCAGGAAAGAGGAGGAGGAGACGGAGGAAGAGAGAGGAGGAGGAGGATTAGGAGGAGGAGGAGGAGCGAGAAGGAGGGAGGCTTGAGGGAGTAGGACGAGGAAGAGGGAGAAGAGGAGAGAGGGGGAGGAGGACGCTGAGGAGGAGGACGGAGGAGGAGAAGGAGGAGGAGGAGGAAGAGGATGGAAAGGGAGGAAGGAGAAAGACCAGGAGGGGATTGAGGAGGAGGAGGATAAGGAGGAGAAGGATGGTGTAGGTAGGATCGGATGAGGAGGAGAAGGAGAAGGGGAGGAGGTCGGGAAGCTGATCAGGGAGGATGAGGAGGAGAAAGAAGGAGTATAAGGAGGAGGAGGAGGAGGAGGAGGAGGAGGAAGAGGAGGGGGAAGCGGAGGAGGATTAGAAGGAGGAGGAGGAGGCGGAGGAGGAGGAGAAGGAGGAGGGAGGAGGAGAAGAGGGGGGAGGAGGAGGAGGAGGAGGAGGACGAGACGGAGGAGGAGAAGCAGGGAAGAGGAGGAGAGGAGGAGGAGAAGGACGAGGAGGAGGGGAAAGAGGAGCAGGAGCAGGAGGAGGAGGATGAGGATGAGGATGAGGATGAGGATGATGATGCTGATGATGATGACGATGACGATGACGATGATGCTAATGATGGTGATGATGATGACGATGAGGATGATGATGATGATGATGATGATGATGAGGAGGAGGAGGAGGAGGAGAGGAGGATAACGAGGAGGAGGAGGAGGAGGAGGAGGAGGAGACGGAGTAGAAGGAGGAGGAGGGGGAAGCTGATCAGGAGGATGAGGAGGGAGAACAAGAGGAGGAGGAGGACGAAGAGGAGGGGCAAGAGGCGGAGGATTAGAAGAAGGAGAGGAGGCGGAGGAGTAGGAGGAGGAGGAGGGAGGAGAAGCCGGGGGAGGAGGAGGAGGAGGAGGAGGAGAAGGAGGAGGAGAAGCAAGGAAGAGGAGGAGAGGAGGAGGAGACGGACGAGGAGGAGGGGGAGAGGAGCAGGATGAGGATGTGGATGCGGATGAGGATGAGGATGAGGATGATGATGAGGATGAAGATGAGGATGAGGATGATTACGATTATGATGCTTATGATGATGATGCTGATGATGATGGAGATGGTGATGATCATCCTGATGATGATTCTGATGATGATGGTGACGATGATGATGATGATGCTGATGATGATGATGCTGATGATGATGATGATGATGCTGATGATGGCGATCATGATGACGATGGTGATGGTGATGGTGATGCTGATGATGACAATGATGAGGATGATGATGATGCGACTGATGATGATGATGATACTGATGATGATGATGTTGATGATGATGTTGATGATGATGGTGATGGCGATGATGGTGATGCTGATGATCATCATGATCATGCTGATGATCATGGTGATGATGAGGACGAGGACGAGAAATAATATGAGGCGGAGGGGGGGGACGATGCTGCGGATGGGGAGGAGTAAGAGGAGGATGAGGAGGAGGAGGAGGCGGAGGACGATGATGGTGATATTAAGAAGGGGGAGGAGGAGGAGGAGGAGGAGGAGGAGGAGGAGGAGGAGGAGGAGGAGGATGAGGAGGGAGTGGAAAAAGGTGGAGGTGGGATGAGGAGGAGGATGAGGAGGAGGAGGAGGAGGAGGAGGAGGAGGAGGAGGAGGAGGGGGGGGAGGAGGAGGAGGAGGAGGAGGAGCAATGGAGCAATGGCCGAGGGCGCAGAAGGGGATCCCGACTGAGCCTCGGAGGAAGCGCCGATGGGCGCGGACGAGCGTCCGAACTGTTGGCCACAGCTAGTCCGAGTCACCAGACTCGGGCAGTGGCTGCAGCACGGGGGCCGAGGGGGAGAGGGGAGCCGAAGGCGCGGGCCTGCTCAGCGCCGCAGCATCGGCTCGCGGCACAGGGCTCCGACCCTCCTCCTCCTCGACCCCACGAGCGACCCCGACCCCCCCATCCGCCACCCCCGTCCCGACGACAGTGAGCGTCTGCACGGCGGCCTCAGGGGCAATCGGGGCCAGCATCAGCGGGCCGAGCGCCTCCCCCCGTCTTGGGGTGGCGGCCGCGCTGGGCCTGCTGCAACATTCGCTGGACTCTCTCACTTCGCGCACCACCCCCACCCGCTCCCGAACGAACTCCATCCTCCCTGACGTTGCACGCGCGCTTGAGGCCCACAGAAAACCTCTGCGGGCGCACGGCGTGGGCCCCGCAGCGCGTGCAAATCAGCACACGGTCGCATTCCTGGACCAGGTGTCCAGGACCAACGTCCTGGGGATCACACAGACGGGAGGAGAGGGACTTCAGGGAGGACGGGGTCGAGGCCTGGCGCCAACAAACAGTGCACCCGATCGCGCCAGCAGGAAACAGGGCGAACGCGTGGGTGGTCGGCTTGCGCTGGCGGGGGGCTTTAGGGGCAGGCGGTAGCGGCCGATGGACGACGGGCGATGCCATCATGGCCACTCTGTGGGCGGCAAAAGCGAGACATCTCATCCGCTGTTTCGCCTGCTCCATCACAAACTTATGCGCACGAATGACCGAGGAAGATCCAGACAGATCGAGCGCGGCCATCTTCGCGAAACAGTCAGCCCACATGTGACCGAAAAAATTCTCGAGGGGCTCTCTCGAGGAAATGCACGACGCAATGCCTTCATCCACGGACCTGTGAGCACGAGTCCAGGAGAAACGGGGCAAACGATCTAAATCTCTTTCAAACAGAGCGTGCAACTGCCTCCAGACACTCTCATGGGGAGCTGTCGGTCGAACATGCCTGCCAAACCAAAGCTCCCCCTCCTGCGCCAGAGCCAGGTGATCGGTGACAAACTCAGACGGCCTGGACGCCAATTCGAGACCTCGGAGGGCGGCGACCCTTTCGGCCCTGGGAACGGTTTGAATCGGGCCTCCGAGGCCACCAAAAACAGCCTTGAACGGCAAAAAAATTGGCGTGAGGGCCACGACCGCCCAGCCACACCGCCTAGCCTCGGGGAAACCGCTATCAAAACAGGACCCGTCGCCAAAAACTTTAGACGGCCACGGCACATCGCGGGCACCCCACTCTCGAACAGGCAGCATGCTGGGCTCAGGGGGCCGAAACTCAGGGCGCATCGGCAACGCGTAGAGCAGGTCGACAGCGGTGAAGCCCCACTCCGCACCAGCGCCCGTCTGGCCCTGCTCCCAAATGTCCTTCCTGACCTGCAGCACGTCCTCGGGGTACGGGCCCTGCTCCTCCCCCTCCTGCGCCTCGTGCACGGTGCAGTAGAACATCTCGTGCTCGAGGTCGGCAGGCGCGTGACCACAGAACTCACAAACTGCATTGTCCGTGTAACCTGCCTCGCGCCGACGGGCGGGCGTCCACATGCCGTCAGACTGAAGCTTTGCCGAAGCACCACGCAGCCCGCTGGACAGCCTCTGCAGGTGACCCTGACGAAGGGCTCGCATCCAGATATGCCTTCGGCTTCCGTCTGGCCGCCGAGCAGGGGCTCCAGGCAGATGGTCCAAAATACGATGGCTCTGCCAGCGCTCCAGGCTCAGGTACATGTAGTGCTGGACCTCGCTGGGACAGACCCTCAGCAGGTCGATGCCGACACCCGCGTCGTCCACGAGGACCGTGGCACTGGC